CTTCCCGAGAGCTGGAAAACCGACCCAGAGATGTGGCATATGGAGCTGGGAAAAGCTGGGATTATAAGGGGAGATGGCCGGACTCAGAGGACCTTGAGGACATGGTGGTGGCCAACCAGCCCACCCTTTGATGGACCGTGTGCTCACAGCTAACCTCTATGGACACACGTGTGAGAACATGTTTCCTGAGGTGGCACAAGACAATCCCAAGTTAATATCCATCAGGCATGTGATGAGAGTTCAGAACGCCACTTGGCTCCAGGACTCTTGGCCTCTTGAAGCGCTTGTCTCTTACCAGAATGTCTGTCTCCTTTTCCCACCCACCCACCCAGCTGCAGCTGCAATGCCTGACCTCTGCAGCGAACCCTGGGCACTCTGCTGTGTAACCACCAACAGGCCCCCTCTGTGGAACACCCGATTCCGGCTCATCCCCCTCCAGAGTAGACACTCGGCAGGTTTGGACTTACTGTGCTCTGCCAGCCCCTGGATCATGTCGAATTTGTGGATCTCTTTGGCATAGTACTCTGACTCAGTGTTCTCGTGAGCGCAGCCTTCCTCCCTCTCCCCGTGCATCTCTTCCAACAACTCCCGGGTGCTGTTGTAAAGCGCCAGGACCTGATAGGGAACGTGGGTCATCACCGATGGCTCAGGGGGGCTGGTGAGCCTGAGCTTGCTCAAGATCTGTCCCCGAATGGCTTCCACCCGCTTCTTCTTGATGTGGCCGAAGTCCAAGGTGGTGCAAGTGGACAGAGAGAAGCTGACCGTGGCCAAGTTCAGTAGGGCCAGGATCGCCAGAGCCCTTTGCAAGTGCATCTTCATGTGTGAGCCCGGGAGCGAGGCCAGGGGGCAGGGGAGGCCCGGCAAGGAGGAGACCCCAGTAGAAAGAGGGAGGAAAACCAGGCGTCCTCCCCAGATCCCAAAGACTGAGGCTTGGCAAGAGGGTGCATGAACTCACTGCACTGTGATGGCTTCGGGACTCCCAGGAAGCGCTGGCAGCCCCGGGACGGTAGCGGACTGTGTGTGCGATGTAGCGCTGGGATTCTTGTCCATATGTCTAAATAGGTTCTGCTGGGCTCTGGCTCCCAGCAGGCCAGGTGGAGGGCAAGCCGAGGGTTGGGAGGGGTGGCAAGGCAGCTGGGAGTGGGAAGAGAGCTGAAGTTTTTCCTTAGGTAAAAATAAATAGAGCGGATATCTGATATTGCCAAACGCTGCTTGGTGATGAGGAGAAAGTGGGTATTTTAAAGAAAGTGCAGAAGGGCCATGGCTGGGTCCCAAAAAATCAGAATCTCTGCCTTGCCCTGAAGAAGAATAAGAAAAGAGAATGGAGAAGAAAAGAAAAAAAATGTTTTTCTAAAAAAAAATCACCAGTGGGTATGTGGGGAGAGGCAGGGCTGGGCAGCGGCAGGCCCAGCTAAAGGTGGGGGCAGTGCAGGACACACTTGTCTCTCGAGCACTCCATTCATGCTTCCCCTTTTGTTTACACTTCCTCGGGGGCTCTCTAAATGACTCTGTTCACGCTGCCTCTCCTCTTCATTGGCTGGGATGAGAGCGATTATATGCAACTGGCAAGCAGAGAGGGCAGGCCTCTTGGAGACAGCTCGGATAATCCACTTGGACCCACAGTCACCAGCATCTTAGCTTGTCTTCTCCCTCGGCCATGGCTTCTGTCCCTTGCTCCTCTTTAGGGGGAAAAAAATCAGAAGGAAAAGAAAATAGAAGCCGATTCACCGCAGCTGACTCCGGAAAGCGGTATTCCTTCGTCCACAAGCCTCTTCTCATTTGTGTCTTGCCTCGCTGTGGCTCAGTCCCCTACCCTCGGCCCTCTCCTTCCCTCCCTTTCTCGTTCCCCTTCTCTCTCTCCCTCTCCTCCCTCTCTCTCTCTCACACATGCACACACACTGCTTTCTCTATTTCTCTCTGCTGAAATTTTATACCTCCCTCCCATGACGTCTCGCCCTGGGGTGGGGGAGGGAGGGAGGGAGGGACCAGCGCACGCAGCCTCTCTTGCTACACGGTTTTAATGTTTTAAACAGGCACAGGAAAAGCCGAGCCCATTTGAAAAATACTTTGCGAGCCCTCTGCTTCGACGTGGTAACTGAACTTTTTTTCCCCCACCTCTTGGAGTCATTCCTGCTACACGTTGGCTGTTTTTCTGGAAAGTTACTCCCAAGCCCCCTCCCTCCTGCTACCCCGGCCCCTCTTGCCGGGGCCAGCTGTCAGTTCATGCTCCCCGCCCCGCTCTTTCGCCTCCCCCGCGTCCCCGATCGCCCCCTGGCCGGGCCGGGGACACACGCGAGGTCTGCTTGGGGAACGGGACCGGGCGGCAGGGCCATCCTCTTCAGGCCGGAGGGTGGAACCGGGCTCCGCCGCGATCCTGGCTGCGGTTCTTCATTGACCATCCGGGCGCCGGGCGGCTGCAGCTTGGGTAGATGGTGGCGTTTTCCGGAAGGCCGAGGGTGCCCTCTGGCGAGGCCGGGCCGCCAGTGACGGAGGCTCGGTCCACGCGTACCACCAGATCTCGCGGTCAAGCCCTCGGTCCCACGTGCGAGTGAGCGCCGCTCCCTTCCCGGCCGACTCAGCACCTGGCCCCAGCCCATTTCCGACCGGGTCCTAAGTCTTTTTTTTTTTTTTTTCGTCCCCACGAGCAGCTTAAGTTAGGCCAGACCCAGACCGAGCAGCCCACTTTCTTCCCAGTCTCATCATAGCCTTCCTGGACCCTTTCTGAGAGGCCCGGCTCTGAAGTCTCAATTGAAGGGGTGTTAATGTCTTACCTTACGATGGAGGAAACTGAGGCACAGTTCACTTTTTTCAAGGTCACACTGCATCTGGGTGATGGCGATGTCTATTCCAGGCTGTCCAATCAGGAAAGACAATTATTTTAATTAGGAAACTTAGGTGTACAGAGATCATAAAAATGACTTCCTTGAGGTCACACAGATCTTAGGTATCGATACCACTATTTCGACTCTGTCTTTTTATTGCCAGACTTTGCTATGTTTGCTTCTGCAATTTGAGAAATAGAATTTTTTTTATTTTGTTTTGTTTCAAGATGGGGTTTCTCTATGTAGCCCTGGCTGTCCTGGAACTCGCTCTGTAGACCAGGCTGAGCTCCAGCTCACAGAGATCTATCTGCCTCTGCCTCCCGAGTGCTGGGATTAAAGGTGTGCACCACCACCGCCAGTCTGAGAAATAGATTTTTTTAAAGAGCTTTTTTTTTTTTTTAAATTGTGTGTGTGTGTGTGTTCTTGTGAACTTGCATGTGGATATCTTTGGAAGCCAGATAAGGGCAGTCATTTACAGGAGGTTGTGAACTGCCTAGCATAGATGCTAGGGATCCAGCCCTGGACGTCTGCAAGAGCAGTGTGTGCTCTTAATTGATAACCCACCTCCTCAGCCCTGAAGGACAGCCTTTGTTTACTGCATGCCCTGCACAGTTGAGGATAAGTTAATAAACAAAACAGATCTTGCTTTTATGGAATTTGCATTTCCCAATGGGAGAGGTTGTTAACCATTAAATAAATGAAATTACATGAGGTGTGGGACAGAGAAGGGGAGGAGAGTACCCCGATTTGGGGAATATTGAAATTTAAAATGGGGTGACCCCAGAGGCTGAGGTTCTTGGGCTAACTCTGCACAACACAGGAGGCAAAGCCATTGAGGGGCTTCTCTTCCAGGCCATACCCTCTCTGCCTGGCTCACACCCGTGCCGGGATAACAGCTATATTTTTTTTAACTCACTTCTCAAATGATTCAAGTGCTAGGTAAGATTTGCCAGCCCCTGCTTGCTGGGGATTCTCTTTGCCCAGGGTGAGTACCATTCACCCTTTGTCTTCTCAAAGTTGGGGAAGAAGTGGGCGGGAGCTTACAAGAAATTGAAAAAGCCAAGCGTTAATCCCTTCTTGCGTAACCAGCACCCCGGAAGAAGGAACAAGCGGATAGTTGATGCCTATATTGAAGCTGTCTGAGATTTTTGGCAATGATTGTTGCATCAGATTAAAATCTAACAAAATATTCTCACTGAGAAGCAAGTAAGAATCTCAGAGAAATCTCTAGAGGTCATTCCAAGGGAGGAAACTGAGGTCAAACAAAGTAATGATGAGAAATCACCTCCTCAGACTCCCAGGCCATTGTGTCACGGGGCATGAAATGTTTGGTCTTACTCAGGGAGCCTGGGGAATGAATCCTTGCGCTGGGTGTCACTTGCTGGACACTTCAGTAATGCTTGTCACTCAGCTTTAGGGACAGTCCTCCCAATTTCCTCATTTTGAACTTGTAGCCATCCATTTCCTGTGGGTCCCGGTGACCAATGCCAGGAACTGGCCAGAGATGTTGACTTAGGGATCTCGTATGTTATATGAGTCAATGAAGACTCGGGCTGACTACCCCCTAAACCGGGAATCTGTGGGCTATCTCCTTTTGCAGGCCTATGAGGATGGCCGGCAGCCATTATGCGCTGGAAAAAAACATTGCAAGACAGGGTTTCTCCGTAGCTTTGGGGCCTGTCCTGGAACTAGCTCTTGTAGACCAGGTTGGCCTCGAACTCACAAGTGCTAGGATTAAAGGTGCGCACCACCACCGCCCGGCTCATTAGTGTTCATCTGTCCAATGGGAATAATACCATGCGTCCTGCCCTCCACAGTAGTTGTTTCATCTTTCCCTTGAGCAGTAATTTGAAGGCTTTTGTACATTGCGAATGGGAGGGGTCAGAACAAGTCACCAACAGCGGTGCTTGCACTCACTCACAAACGTATTTAATCAAATCTACACACGTAGGCGGTTCCCAAGGCTAACCTTAGCGGAATTTGCTATCTGGAGATTTGTTTTGTTTTCCCGAAGTCAAACAAAGTTGGCTGAGGAAAGATCTGGTTTAAACTGGAAGGTGACAGGCAGTACCCAGGAACTGTGTGGCGGACTCTTTAAATACTGGGGTGGAAGGGCGGGGTCGTTGTTAGGGACGCGGTGGAGACGCCTGTTTCCAGGAAGTGACATCAACGGCCGCGGAGATGGACGATTTACTGGACCTGGGCGAGGAGAGACGACGCAGTTCGACCACCTCCGTGAGGAGCGATGATGGGGGCTGGGGGCTGGTTCAACGGGTGGGATAAATGGCCGGACTTCCCGAGAAGCCCGGAGTCGGGCCAGACCCCGACCCAGTCGCCCGAGTGCAAATCCCGAGTGCAAGTCATAACGGAGGGTCTGCGCCCCGCGCCACGGCAGCCCTCGCCCTGGAGTCTAGTCCCCGGAAGTTCTACCAAAAGCTGCTAGGAAAATAGGTGGCTGGGTTTCCTTTCTGTAAACCCCTCCTCAGGACTGGAAATCAATACTCCAGTTTATTACGTGGGGGGGAGTAACAACTGGGTAAAAACAAAACCAAACCTGACGCTGGACCAGAATGCACTTAGCCCCGGCGTCCTTGCTAAGTAGAATGGAGGAGGCGTTGCTGTGTAGGTGAAATGTGGAAATTCGTGGAAAGCATTTACTGCCCCGCCTGACCTTCCCTGCTCTTCCCTCCCACGCCAAGACTGGCAGATAGCCAGTAGATAACAGGACTTGATTGAAGACCTACATTTAGTGTTTTCTGACTGTCAGAGCCTCCACCAGGTCTCGATAGCCTTTAGAGTTAGCTGAGATCACTTTGAAGGATTGGGTCACCTGGAAAGTCCTTAGTGTCTGCTGTAAAATCGCAGGGGTTTTGAAGGGCCCTGGAAGCATCCAATGCCCTCCAAGCTGCTAGAGAGGTCCCTGTTGGAGGGAGATGAGAGGGGCTGGAGCCAATTAGTTGAGATTGGAGCAGGGTTTTTAAAAGGCTAAGGACAAGGGGCCACCAGATCTTTGTGATACGTGAATCTTTCTAGTACCAGGGATGTGAATGTTTTGATTTAGTCATTCCAACACAAACATGGATTGCGTTCTAGCGTGCATCAGACTTTGTTCTTCTGGCAGAGAACGGAACACCATTGACCTTTGCCCTGGGGGGTGGGGGAGAGAAGGACAGTAAACAGACCACCCTTAAAATACAAGATTTCAACCTATAAAGTTCTTTCCTGTCTTGTCAATTTATAGTGTCTTCAAATAGCCTCCAACAGTCAGAGAAATCCCTTGTCAACAGCGTTTACAGACACACTTGGACAACAAAACAGGGCACCTTCCTGGAGAAGGAAATGGGCTGTATTATCAGGAAGACCATTCCCCCCATTCTTGAAAGATTGGCATCACAACTTGAAGGATTGATAATTGCAGTCTAGTGCCCAGATCGACTTTAGCGTTTTTGGTGCAACACTCCTGAACACCTTTTCTTCTTTCTTAGAGCACTTAGCGCTGAGTTTTCAGTGGGGTGTCATGTGATGAACCCAGGATTCAAAGTCACAAGAAGCCATTGCCACTTAATCGCTTTCTTGGGCCTCAGTTTCCTCTTTTATAAAATAGTGTCAGCCTCAGTCTTTGGCCATACTTTTGTGAGACTCAGAGTCAGGGTAAAAGAGACCCAAAATTGCTATGCTATGATGGTTTTCTGTTTTGTTTTAAGTAAGTGTATCACACATAGACACTCTTCAGCATCCATTAGTGTTGCTCCAAGTTTTGTTTCTGTCGGGGGGATGCTGGAGACAGAGCCCCTGCCCACACCTGCAAATGTTTCATCTGGTGACTCAAAATCTTGAAGTGCTCTGCTTTCCAAAGGTGATGTCTCTGCATTCCTGTGCTGGTTGTGACAGGGGTGGGGGCCGGTGATGCCAATCCAACCAGCAGGGCCAGACGTCTCTCTGAATTCCTTTAGTGTCAAATGCCATGAAATTGAGGAATTCTCTCTGAAAGCCTGTCTGGTAGCTGTCTCTGAAGCCCTGCCTAGGAGGTGGGAGCCTTTACTATCAGCTCTTAGCTGTGGCTTGAGGCTTCTGCCCAGGCTAGCTGCATTTCTTTCTTTTCTTTTCTTTTCTTTTCTTTTCTTTTCTTTTCTTTTCTCTTCTCTTCTCTTCTCTTCTCTTCTCTCCTCTCCTCTCCTCTCCTCTCCTCTCCTCTCCTCTCCTCTCCTCTCCTCTCCTTCTCTCTCTCTCTCTCTCTCTCTCTCTCTCTCTCTCTCTCTCTCGGCAGGGTTTCTCTGTGTAACAGTCCTAGCTGTCCTGGAACTAGTTCTTGTAGACCAGGCTGGTTTCAAACTCATGGAGAGCTGCCTGTCTCTGCCTCCCAAGTGCGCAGATTAAGGGCATGTGCTCCCACTGCCTGGCATTAGCTGCATTTCTAACTGTGTGTCATGGATAGAATAGTGACTTTGCTTTCGTTGTAACTGGCTTTTGAAAATCTCATGATCAGGAGCCTGTACGTTTCCTGTTCTGCCCAACAGAATGGACTTTTGGGTACTTTCCCTTAAGGATTTAGAGAAGCCTCTGTGAATATAACCAAGTTACTCAAATCCCGTTCTCTGCCATGCCATCAAACCTGAGTCCTGGCTTCCCGTTATGCCGTACCCACAAGGCCTCAAATGACGTGCGGTCATCTGTGCTCTGTCTCTCCTTGCAGGGAGCCAAGATGGGCCGCCGAGCTCAACAGGAGTCAACTCAGGCTGAGAATTTCTTCAGCAGCAAGAATTCTTCCCTGACTCAGACTGGAGAGGTGAGTGCTACAGAGACAGAAAGGAAACGAGAAGATGTGGAGAAATGTTCTTTAAGAATAAGCGAACCCTTAATGAGCAGGGCTGTGGTACTCGGCATTTGTTTGCAATACCAGCTTTTCTGCGTGTCTTGATTCGGAAGTTCCTTTCTAGGACATTTGTCCTACTGGGAACATCTTTCCTTTGAGACCTACTGGATTCTAGACCGTTTTGTTTGTTTGTTTGTTTATTTGTTTGTTTTTTCAAATTCATAGTGTACAATTTTTTACTTTATTTTGTTTGTTTGTTTTGGTTTTTGGTTTTTCGAGACAGGGTTTTTCTGTGTAACAGCCCTGGCTGTTCTGGAACTCAGTTTGTAAACCAGGATGGCTCAAACTCACAGAGATCCACCTGCCTCTGTCTTCTCCTGCCTCCACCTCCTGAAAGCTGGGATTACAGGCATGAACTGCCTTGCCCTGTTGTTGCAGATGCTAGGATCAGACTCAGGGCTTCATGCTAGCTGGGCAGGCGCTCTACCAACCGAGCACATCCCCGGCCCTGGCCAGCTTCTCATGCCGCCTGAAGTGAAGCACTGGGAAGCTTTAAAATGCAGAAGTTGTCCAGGTTCTTATCTCCACCGAATAAACACCAGGAAGGCGCACTGGTGCTGTAAGATTGGCTCACACAGCTGGGGGTTTGCTGCCAGTAGCTACCCCTGTCTCCTAGCGTCTCAGGAGGGAAGGAGATTGGGCGGCCTCTGCCTTCTGGCAACTTTTCCAATTGGCCTTGACCCTTATGGAGCGATTCAGCTTCCTTGTGAAGGGCCGGAAATCCAGGGTTCAGTCACCCCCTTCGTTTGGACAGCCTTTGCCTTCTCATCTCCCTGGCCTCTGTAGGCTGTCTTCTTAGGACCACTGCCTCCTGCTTTTACAGTCCCTGCCTGGGGGCAGGCTGGTATGTGCTGATGGTAGTTCTCCACACCTCTCTGCACCCCGCTAGAAAGTCACCAGACAGTAGGAAACCTGGCTTCTTGGCTAGCAACAGTTTGTGGTGGGTGACTGAGGGGACCTGAGCTGAGAGCTCTGGCAGACCATAGGTGCGCACGACCCAGACAGGCTGTACTAACAGATCACTTAGTGGAGATGTTTCCCCTGCGCCAGAAATGATGTCACCCGTTTCGCTTTCCTTCTGTGGCCCTGTCTGCAGGGCTTTCATTTTCCCGCTCACTGTAGAAGCATGAGTATGAGGAATGATTATGGTAACCATGACGCCAGCATGTAAAATCTGGCAGCTGACTCTTCTCCATCAGCAGAGGGTATCAGGGCCTGCAGGTCAGATGACCAATCTAAACAGATAACTGGCACCTCGTCCAAGCTGGCGGAGGCTGGCAGGAGATAGATCAGCAACTGCCTGATCTTCTAAGAAATGCTGGCAGACTCTCTCTCTCTCTGTGTGTATTACACATCTGATGCTGAGTCTGGTCCTCTGCAACTTCCTTCGAAGTCTTTATGAAAAGTCATTCTTATCTCTCTGGTGCCCAGCAGGATTCCAGGAAGCCTCCCTCCCCTTTCCTGAGGCCTTGGGATTTGAAGCAGTGTGAGCAGCCTCCCACAGGACCATATACTCCCTGGGCTGTATGAGACTCCTTGGCCGTTTCTTTCTAAAATTAGATCCAGGATTTGTGCCCATTCACACCCAGTTGCGAGCATACTACTTGGTATGTTTATTTTTATCCCCGCGCTGACTTTATTTAGTGGAGCTATCCCTAAAAAACCCTCAGCGTGGTACCTGGGAACTGTCAGACAGACTGGTGGTACTTTGGAGTCAAGTAGGAATTAGTCTGAAATAAATAGTTATTTTAAAGTGAGCTGGTGGAATTGGGCCGTGGAAGAAGGAAGCAGAGATGCCTTGCTTGCCACTGGCTCTTCTAATTGCTTGGCTCTTAAATCCGTTAATCTCTGGAATCCTCCATCTTGTCATTTGCCAAATGGTGATCACAGTGCCAGTAGCTGAATGTGGGGATCAAGTGAGCTATGCATTTAAACACTTTGGCAAGCTGAAAAGCACTGTGCAAGCCCCCGTTCATTCAGCCTCCAGCACGTGGTGAGTGAATGAGCAGCGCTCTGCTGTTCCTGTCCAGGGAGGACGGTTAGGACTGGGCACGGTTCACACGCTGTAAGCCAGGCCCTGGGCATTCTGAGCTGGTTCTCTCCTTCCGCCATGGGTTCGGGGATTGAACTCAGGTCACCAGGCTCACACAGCAAGCTCTTTATGCACTGAGGCTTCTTGCCAGCGCTGCAGTCACCTTGTGTTCGACTTATACAGTTAGACTTTAAATTAAAAAGAAAAAAAAAGTAAAAGGTTAGTAGTTAAAGAATTGAGAAACCTGATGTAAAAGCCCAGATCTGGGGTTTCCCTTGGAAATCAGAAGTTCTTCCCAGTGAGGCCCGTGAACTGGCATTTCTGCGTGGCAGTTGGCTAGGGTACTGGCGCCACTTCCTTATAGGTGACTAGGCCTCTCCAGTATACTGCTTTTCACCTGCCTGTCTTTATTTATATTGCTAAGGATGGAGCCCAAGGCCTTGCATGTGTTAGACAATGCCTTACCACTGAGCCACACCCCAGCTCGCTCTCACACTCGCTCTCTCTCTTTCTCTCTCTCTTTCTGTCTGTCTCTTTTTTCTTTCTCTTTCTTCCTTCCCTTCCTTCCTTCCTTCCTTTCTTTTTATTTATTTATTTATGTTTGATAAAATGATCTCACTAAGTTGCCCAGGACAACCTTGAATTTACCATCCTCTTGCTTTAGCCTCTGAATAGCTGGAATTATAGGCATGTGCTGCTGTTTCCAGCTTGTATCACTGCTACTACTACTGCCACTAGTTTCTTCTTCCTTCTCATCCCCTTTTGCCTCTTCTGCCTCTTCCTCCTTCTTCCTTCTCTCTTCTCCTCTCTTCTTCTTCTTCTTCTTCTTCTTCTTCTTCTTCTTCTTCTTCTTCTTCTTCTTCTTCTTCCTCTTCCTCTTCCTCTTCCTCCTCCTCCTCCTCTTTTTTCTTCTCCTCCTCCTCCTCCCCTTCTTTCTCCTCCTCCTCCTCCTTCTCCTCCTCCTCCGCCCCGCCCCCCCGTAGCTGTCTTGGGACTGGTTTTATAGACCAGGCCTGCCTCTGCCTCCCAAGTGCTGGGTCTGAAGGGCCCAAGTGCCACCCCCACCTGCATTTCTTTTTTTGTTTGCTCGCTTGTTTGTTTACTTTGTAGCTCAGGTTGGCCTCAAACATCATGGTCTTTCCGCTTCAGCCTCCTGAGCACTGGGATTGCAAGCATGAGCCTTCGTGTCTGGCCACTTCTCACTTTAAGACACCACCAGACTTTACTCACTTGGTTTGCATGGCACCCATACCTCCTGAATTTCAAACTTGCGCTGTTTGGGGATGATTTCCAGGCATTCTTCTGCATCTGTTAGCGCTGAAATTGGCTACATCCAGCCGACACTTTGCTCTGGTCTGACTGAAATAGGACTGACTTTCGAGGAGTTCAGTGGAGGACAGGGGGGATGTGGTTACTGGGCCATATCCTGTGTCATCCTAACTCATTTCATTTCCTGCTGTGCCGCTAGAAGCTTGTGGCTTTAGTTCTCAGGGTCGGTTGCAAGATGACTGATGATTGTCCATGGGTTGGATCTGCATTCTAGGTAGGAAAAGTTCAGGGTGCATCCAGTTAAATGCTCCCCTTCGATCAGGGAACAGTAGCCAGAGACCTCAGTGGCTCAGAGGGTATATGGCTAGCTGCGTTTTATTGGTTAGCACACAGTTTTACAACTGCCCTCACTTTTAAGACAGCTTTTAATCCGGTCAGAATTGGGTCTTGTAATGACCGCTCTGAGTTTTGGTGGCGTTTTTACCTGGGGCATTGGTGTTCCTTGGTGACTGAGGAGTAGGCTGTGAAGTAGGCTTTCCTAAGTCGACCTGACAGGGCTGGGAGCTGACTCAGCCAGTAAAGGGGCCGCCATGTGTGTTAGCTACTCTGCTGTTGCTGTGGAGAACTCCATGACCAAGACAACTTATGGGGGAAGGGTTTATTTGGGGTCTACGATTCCAGAGGAACAGGAAATTTATCGCCATCATGGTGGGGAGCCTGGCAGTAGGCAGGACAGACATCTGGAGCAGCAGCTGAGAGCTCACATTAAAAAAAAAATTATTTTGAGATTATAATTACATCATCCCCCCTCCACACTGCTTTCCTTTCCTTCCTTCAAACCCTCCCATGTGTGCCCTGCACCCTCCCCATCAAGAGCTCACATCCTGAGAAGGCTAAAACCGTAATGAAAATGACTCGAGTCTTTTGAAGCCCCAAAGCCCGCCCAGTGCGACACACCCCCAATCTTCCCCAACGGTCCCTGCAGCTGAGGACAGACGCAGGTGTTGAGTCTGTGGTGGCCACTCTTGTTCAGACCAGCACACTGTGCCAACACCAGGAGGCCTGTGTTAGAGCCCCTGCACCTACCTAAAAACCGGGCTCAGAGGTGCTCACCTGTAACCCCAGCCCTGGAAAGTGGAGACAGGGGAGTCCCCAGGGCTCGAGCACTGGCGATCAGTGAGCTCCAGGTTCAGTGAGAAACCCTGAAGTGGGCAGCCATTCAGGAACTACACCTGTTGTCAACATTTGGTCTCCATGAACATATAGAGACATAGACACAGATACACAGACAGACAGACAGACAGACAGACAGATACACACACAGGGCATATAGAGACATAGACACAGATACACAGATAGACAGACAGACAGACACACACACACACACGGGTTGATACAAACTAACTTGACATTAGAAATTAGAACTTATACAAAATTTTTAAATAGACTTGGATAAGGAAGGAAAGAATTCTATTTTTGGCTAACTCCCTTCCCCACATTCCTCTCCAATTCCTTCAAGTTGTGTGTGGCTCCATGAAAACGCTGTCCTGTGTCCCAGTGTGCCTGGGGGAGTTGCCTGGGAATGTCCCCCCTTGGTGGTCTTCTCCTAGCC